TTAAAATGGCAAAGTCAGCATGTCCAGAAATGGCAATGGCACTTCCGGTCGCATTAATTTAATGATATTCATTGGAATTACCATAGCAAAGGCAGTTCAGCAATGGTGGACTGATAGGAAGCTTCACTACAAAGCCTGCTAATGGCTTTCTGGTACATGGATGGGACTTCACTAGATACTTGAGGCTTCTAGAATGCTATTTAATGCAATTGGTTATGGTAGTTTTCTCATACTCTTTTGGTAAAGTGGCAGGCGTAGCGCAAGAAGACTCATCTTAAGCCCAACATACACTGAGCAACTTTGTTGCCAGTACCTTTGATGTGGTGAAGCAACTTGTTGCCAGAAGTTGAGAGTCTCTCTACTTTCTGCAACATGTTGCCCAGTGTTGCTCAACCACATGAAAGGTCTGACCACAAGTTGCTCAGTGTATGTTGGGCTTAACAAACGGCCATCTTGTTATTACTTTAAAAGGATCTACAGACATCATTTGCTTGTATATGATGTTACGCACACTTTGTTTCACTTTATTATTCCTAAGAGAAGAGAAAAGCACTTGCTCACTCTTGTTGCTACACCCGTAATCATTGAAATGGCTAAAATTACTTCAACTTTAGAAGACAAAAGTTCCAAACAAAGTTTGAATTACTTTATCTTTTTCACATTATTGGGTAGTAAAAATGTTGTACTTTCACAAAATAAATGTGCAAATTGTCAAAAATTGTTTGAAATTTAGGTATAGAGTAACAGTGGGAGTTTACGGACAGCGGTAGTATACAAACATTTGAAGTTCAAAGTACCATATAAATTTGAAACATTTGAGTAGAAACTCAATTTTTTTCTGAGGGGTAGAGCTCTCCTACTGCAATAGCTACAACCAATTTCAGCAAGTTTGCAATACCTATTCTATGTTACATTTGACTGCAAATGATTATGGTCAATTGCTAAGTCCAAATAATCAAATGTCTCTTAAAATACAAAAAACCTCAACATCTTGAAATTGCAGACTGAAAGTTTTGAATATGCCTACATCATCTATCAATACAAAGGAAATTAATTACACTATTTGATGGAGTTATGTAAAACATTATAAATAACAAAGTAAGAGTTATTTAAGAGCAAATACACCTTGGTGACAGAGGCAGTTACCAGACAGTGATAATAATCACACAGTAACAGCAAACACAAGGGAGAAATGGAAGAATGACGACTTGGAAAAGGCTATATAGACATTTTGTGATGAAAATTCTCTGTTACTACTAGAGAAAATACTCAATACCAAAAAGGGATCAATACATGCATGACCACTCCGGTTTCAAAATTAAGCAAGTTTCAGCAAGGCTTGGTCCATCACATATACAAGAAAAGAATGAATTAGTAGAGTGGATTATCAAAATAATTAAAATAGGGTATCGGACAGCCTCGCTGCCTCAGACAAAAGACCCAACAGTTTCCGACAATATTCCTGATAAAAGAATGGTGGCATGTGTTTTAAGGAGAAACCCAGAGATAAGCTTATGCACCCCCAAGCACTTCAATGCTTGTAGAGAAATGAAAAAGGATCATGTGATGATTTTATTTGCTGCTATGACACAACCTGGTCTTTGTGGACTAAAAATAGACACAACCAATTTTACAGTACAGTTGCATTTATACACTTATCCAGTCTAAAAAAAATCATTAAATTTCATCCTTATTATCATTGCTATTTAGTTCATTATGCAGTTACCTCAGAAAAGTCATTGGATCCACAACAAGGTCAATTTCTGTCACTGTCTGGAGACAGCCTCACCTGTCGGTTAACTAACTCCACCACCTGATAGCCTTTAAAAAATTCCTAAAATCCCCTGGACAAGAATTTCTAAAAATCCTTCATGGATAAAATCTGGTAGACTCACTGCTTTCCAAAGAATACCTCACATCCAGTACCAAGGAATCGTGAGTCCAGTGAGATCCTTCCAAACGTTAGGTGTCGGTAAACTACCTCCGTTACTCTAACCATTCAAAAAGTAAAAAATTTATCATACATACATAAAGGAATGACAAAATGGC